TCCTTTGTTATTTTTACCGAATTTCAGTACTACTTTTGAGATAGAATGCGATGCTTCTGGTACAGGAATTGGAGTTGTGTTGATGCAAGGAGGACGTCCTATAGCGTATTTCAGCGAGAAGTTAAGCGGAGCGACATTGAATTATCCGACTTACGATAAGGAGATGTATGCTTTGGTGCGAGCTTTGGAGACTTGACAACATTACTTGTGGCCAAAGGAGTTTGTGATCTACACCGACCACGAGACTTTAAAGTACTTGAGGGGGCAGCAAAAGTTGAACAAAAGACATGCCAAATGGATGGAGTTCATTGAGACTTTTCCATATGTAATCAAGTAAAAAAAAGGTAAGGAAAATGTGGTAGCAGATGCACTTTCTCGAAGGTACGCAATTCTAACTACTCTAGGAGCAAAGTGTCTAGGTTTCGAGCATATCAAAGGTTTATACGCTGACGATGATGATTTTGGAAGAGTATTTGAAGCTTGTGAGCATGCTGCGTTTGAAAAGTTTTATAGGCATGATGGATATCTCTTTCGTGAAAATAAGTTGTGTTTGCCTAGATGCTCTTTGCGTGAGTTATTAGTGCGAGAGGTACATAGTGGTGGTTTAATGGGGCATTTTGGAATCAATAAGACTTATGAAGTGCTGCATGAACATTTTTTTTGGCTACACATGAAACGAGATGTTACACGAGTTTGCGAGAGATGTATCGCATGTAAGCAGGCTAAGTAAACCACATGGTTTGTATATACCTTTGCCTATCCCGACGCATCATTGGGTTGATATCTCTATGGATTTTGTATTAGGATTGCCTAGGTCTAAGCATGGCAAGGATTATATTTTTGTGGTTGTTGATCGATTTTCAAAGATGGCTCATTTTATACCTTGTCATAAATCTGATGATGCATCGAATGTTGCTGAATTGTTCTTTCGTGAGGTTGTGCGTTTGCATGGCATGCCTAGGTCCATTGTTTCTGATCGAGATACTAAATTTCTAAGCTACTTTTGGAAGACATTGTGGAAGAAGTTAGGTACACAACTTTTATTCTCTACTACTTGTCATCCACAAACTGATGGTCAAACTGAAGTAGTTAATAGGACTTTAGGGACATTATTGTGTGCTATCATTAAAAAGAACATTAAGTCTTGGGAAGATTGTTTACCGCATGTTGAGTTTGCTTATAATAGAAGTGTGCATTCTGCTACTAAATTCACACCGTTTGAGGTTGTCTATGGTTTTAATCCCTTAACTCTATTGATTTAACCCCTTTGTCTGTTGCTGAGCGTGTGAATTTAGATGATGCTAAGAAAGCTGAATTTGTGAAGACTTTGCATGAGAAGACGCGGCTGAATATTGAGCTTAAGACAGAGCAGTATGCAAAGCAAGCCAACAAAGGGCGCAAGAAAATAGTGTTTGAGCCCGGTGATTGGGTTTGAGTTCATATGCGCACAGAGCGTTTCCCTAAACAGCGACGCTCTAAATTGCTACCGCGAGGGGATGGACCATTTATGGTGTTGGAAAGAGTCAACGATAATGCTTACAAGCTTGACCTTCCAGGTGAGTATGGTATTAGTGCTACTTTCAATGTTTCTGATTTGACTCTTTTTGATGCAGACGCTGATTTGAGGGCAAATCCTTTGCACGGGGGAGGGAATGATGTCACGCCCCGAATCCTACGACGTGCGAACATCCCTCCAAGGTCCGTTACAAGTGCGACGTCCCAGGACACGTCGCCGACCCAACGCCCAACACAGAGATTAAAGCACACACGGAAGCAATACAATACCCGAATAGTTTTGAAACAAATGACCAAGGATAGCCACTCAGCAAACAACATGAACAATTACACTTGCGTTGATACTGGGCACCAAACACGATATTCAACTACAGCCCATGCTCAAAAATCAAAAGCAGTTCAAGGCCACTACAACTAGCCGGGGCTCCTCCCAAAACACTTCGGTACGCCTGCCATCCTCAATGCTGGGGTCTGAAAATGTGGTTTAAACAACAATGAGAATAATCTCAGTGAGTAATTCCCTAAACCTAAACTAGGCTAACGTGCACCTCCAGAGGATAAATAAAACACATGAATCACTGAACCAGTATAACAATCAATATAAGTTCACTCGGGCCCATAGCCCAATTCACTACTCCGCCATGCAGGTTAGACTTTTAATATCATTATAAAACATATGCGAGTAAATCGACCCGAAGGCCACGACCCTGAGGCCAACAACAGTTAAGCCGACCCGAAGGCCACGACCCGAAGGCCACAGTTTGTCCCGACCCGAAGGCCACAGTTTATCCCGACCCGAAGGCCCGACCCGAAGGCCATAGTTTTATCCCGACCCGAAGGCCCGACCCGAAGGCCACAGTTTATTCCGACCCGAAGGCCACAGTTTATCTCGACCCGAAGGCCCGACCTGAAGGCCACAGTTTATTCCGACCCGAAGGCCACAGTTTATCTCGACCCGAGGGCCCGACCCGAAGGTCACAGTTTATCTCGACCCGAAGGCCCGACCCGAAGGCCAACAGTTTTATGAACCGACCCGAAGGCCCGACCCGAAGGTCAACAGTTTTATAAACTGGCTCATCATGTATACCAATGCACTCAGTTTCGGCTAATGGCAAGGCATGATATGCGATTCATATGCCCGAGAATCCAAAGTCAATTTCCCAGGCCAAGATGCCAGACACAATTATTCACAAATTTGACAATTTCAAGGCATTAACGGCATGTTCAATCTACTCCATTTTTGCCCCAAATAAACCGGCACTTATTCCCCACATTTACTCCAATTCAATTCAATAAGCCCAAGGCTCGCCAAGCTATTCCATTCTTAGTCCCGCTAGACATGCGACATGGCATCATACAATCACATTCAAGTCACGTTTAATTTAGCATCCTCTCGGGTGATCATCGTTCCCTAAGCCGTTCACCCTAAAATCTCGAATAAACAATTATGGCCCGAATCCTCCCGATACTAAACCAGCCATGAACGGTCCGTCTTAGGCGCTCAATTCACTTTCAATTCATCACATTAGGCTCCCCAATTTGCTACGAAAAACAACTACTACTCGGCCTACAAATCACATCCGTCGAATCCACAATTTCGCCCAAGTCAAGGCTCCTAAGCTTAGCCGCTATTCAGCACACCACAGACCACTAAACCTCGATCAGAACATCACGCTAAGCCACCAAATACGCCACAACATCCGCTCTTAACGGCCTACACAAACCAACCCCCAAATTGATCGCGCCTTGTCCGATTCAAACCCGATATGGACAGCCACTAAATCGATCGTGCCAGGCCATTTAATAACCTCAAAATGTCCCATTAGACTCCCCAAGATACCATTTTAATCCACCACCATAATGCCAATTAAGGCGCGCACTAGAATCCGCATTCTAGACCCGAACTTCCCCAAACTTGGGCTATTCCATTCCAAACCTGACCAGCCATCTCTCGGCACTTACATAGCCGCGAAACCTCATCAAACGGTCACTATAATTCACCAAATCAGCCGTGACATCAACCCCTACCATCCTTTGCACAATAACCCCTAAATTACCCTAATTTAACCCTTAAACTTGTCCAGAAATGCAAATAATCCTAATTAGGGTTTAGGGTCAAACTCACCGGGTGTCCTAAGCTTCAAACCAAGCCGAACACGCGGCAATGGCGGCTGGACAGCGGCGACGCCTCGCCGGAACAGTAACGGCAGCGGCGGTTCCGGCGAACGGCACGAGCCTAGGCGGAGGAGTGGCTGGTCGCGGCGGTCGGGAGAGAGAGAGAGAGAGGAAATAAAAGAAAATATTTGAACATTCAAATATTATTTGCAATCCGATGGCCCAAATTAAAAACCGAAAATGGTCTACCGGTCCAAAATAAGCCTCGCACATAAAAAGGGACAGAGACCAAATTAATTAGACCAAATTATAACGAGGGAGGTCTACTAGTCCAAATTCGCACGTGGTCAAAAGCTCCCATTTTTCCATCATTCCTGACAATCTCAACATTGGCTACCATAATATTGACACCGTCCAATTTATTTTGTCCCGAAACTCCCGGAAATCGATTGCCAAGTTCGGGATCCAAATAACGGCCAAATTTGATCGAGTGCGATTCTAGCGAAATCTCTAATTTAAAATGATAACCGGGAGTGATCAGTTCCCGGGCGAGATTTTACTATAAGCACACTGATAAATTACGCGTTTTATAAATCCCAAAAATGGGCCGAAATTCGGGATGTCACAAATGATGTGGACATCGAACCCTATCGAGGAGGAGGTGCTAGGGACCCGTTGTTCTATCCGCTAGGCCCGATCACTCGAGCGAGAGCGAAGGAATTCAAACAAGCTGTCGGCATCATGGTTCAAGATATTTGGAATGGAGACAATCTGGATTCGAAACTTGAAGATTCTGAAGCTCCTTGGCGCAATATGATTACTCTTGGTCCAGCGAATTCCGAAGGAGCTTAGAATTAACAAACTTCGAATTGGCTCAAATTTGGATAGACGCTTGGAAACGGGCCGTTGATCAATACACACTACGTTAGTAGTGATTGATGACGTTTTTTAGCGATTTAGAGTCGTTTAGATGAACTTTTAGGCCTTTTTCCATTTTTGGACGAATTTTTAGCAATTAAGGTTATTTTTGTAATTTTAATCCTAGTAGGATTAGGATTAGGGTTAGCACCCTATATAAGGTTGCTTATAGATTTCTAAGAGGCAGAGACAGAATTTTATATAGAGAAGTTTTCTTTTGAGTTCTCTTGATGACTAGATCTTATCAAGGCTCCCTTGTGGCGATCGAATTCAACTTATCGAGCAAGATCGCGAATTCTCTTGTTCGTGGCGTTATAGCGTGGATTGGTTGACACAGGTTCGTCAACAGGTCGCGTTTATACCGAGATTACCAATCACAGGTTCGATTGGGGGTCGAGGTTAGCAATTCGTAACTCATAGATCTTCGTAGAACGATCATCTTCCGCACAGATTCATATCAGTAATCATGAGCGAATGTTCAGATGAAAGTCGAAGCTTCTGCACTAAAAAAGAAAGAGAAGAAAGGGAAACAAATGGGGTTGAAGGACGGCTATTTCTAGACACGTTGCCATGGTTTACCACTGGCTTCCAGAGATTGTTGGTGTGGTGGCACGGATACGCGTTGGTCCCATTCGAAATTGAAAGACATGAATTCCTTTAATTCACCATGGTTTGAGTTTGGATGCCATTCCACTGCTAGCGCTTCCCTGTCTCGTTCTGAATACTTGATGTACTTGCCATATGTGGAAGATCTGGGATAGTCTTCAAAACTTCAACAACTTCAGTCATTCGGGGATGAACTTTTCGATTTAGGCTAAGGCAGCGAGCGGCCAACTGCAAAGCAATCTCGGCACCTTTTTCTGAGAATTGATTTCCAAGCCTTGAATCCATCAATTCGTACAAACTTGTTCCCTCTCCCAGATGTGGCCGAGCCCATTGAAGAAGGTTTTGTTTAACGGTAATGGCTCTTCTTCCGGTCACAATCTCCAAAAGAACTGCACCGAAACCATAGACGTCGCTCTTTACTGTAAGCTTCCCTACAATAGTTTATGTGCCGTCAGTAGTCAGGAATACCTAGAATAAGTACCAATCGGTCCCATTTGGCTATAAATACAATCCATGAAGTACACACCAATTATCTGAACCACCTCTTGCAATGAAAAACAGATGCTTGACCTAAAAGGTCGAAACGATAGCCTAGTTCTTTGACCTTCCATCACTTCTATTTTTCTTATGATAATACTAGCTAAGCACCCCGCCCGTTGTTGCAAATAGAAAGCTATCAGTATTAGTCATGAAATTATCGAATTAAATAGTGGCATAAAGGTGTACTAAAGCCCAAATCATTATATACATGTCAAGGTGTTTGCTCCGGCGATGTAGTAATTTATAACATGATAGACAAGAATTAACTAATTATTCTGTCAATTCAGAATCATGCCTGTTGTTAGAAATTGCCGAGTCATAATCATCTCAATTTACGATAAACTTAGTGAAAACTTTTTAATGCATTGCCCTCAATGAAATATATAAGCACATATCTAATTAAAAAAAAACAAAAGGATAAAAGTTTCAACTGTTAATCCAATAGATGTATAAGATAAATCAACTGCCTCTTTAATTTAATGATTTCATAGTGAAATTATGCTACTTGTAAATGATAAATAGGAAAGTATAACGACAAAATACATAGATCATGATGTTCAACATGTAGCTCTAAATAAAACAAAGGAACGAATGATACCTAGTTTGATTTATGTTTTTCGGTAATTATGTAGTGCGTATGGGAGGGGCGACTACCAGACTTAGTGGCAATTAACCAGCTACATGAAGAAACCTAGTTCCTCCATTCTGAATCAAGAATCCTTTGGACATGTAGCATTAAAGCACATAAAAACATATAAAGAAAGGACTTTAATTATAAATCTATGCTTCGGTAATCATGTTGTGCATCTAATCGAAAAGTACCAATTAATCGGGTGTTCAAAGCGTGAAGCGAACATTCCATCGTGAATTGAAAAGAATAATATCAACCAAAAACAAAAAAGAAAAGAGAAAGTAAAACAACACAAAATATCGCTTGCCAGCAACGTGTGATTAATGTGCATTATGAAGTCGCCTGATTTGCATCCTCAAGATCCAACTTTCATGTATTTGTAATCGGTACTTATCATTTCCAAAGCCTGTGTGTACCGCAGAAAGTAAATCTAGATCACCTAGGAACACTAGCTCATGAGGGTCCAGTAAATTTCAGGTTCCTCCCAAGCAAAAAGTATGAGAAAGACACCCGTATATTATAGGATTAATATCATGAAAAATTCTAAACCGGTACATTTATGATAAATTTATCCCAAAGTAATTTTTTGACTACCAAAAACCTTAAACCGGTACACCTATGACAAATTTACCCTAAACTAATTTTTTGACCATCAAAAATCCCAAACTGATATATTTGTGATAAATTCACCATCCGTTAAATTGGATTAATATCACGAAAAATCACAAACGGGTACATCTGTGACAAATGGAGGGTAAAACCCAAACTGGTATACTCATCGATTATCACGTGTTTCCAACTTAGAAATTTGACGATAAAATTTAATAGAAACTAACGGAGAGTAAAATTGTCACAGATATATCAGTTTGGGGTTTTTTGTTATAAAAAAATTAGTTTTGTGTAAATTTATTACATGTATACCAGTTTAGGATTTTTCACGGTAATAACCCCATATTACACTAGGAGGAAACGACAGTTGAGGGATGCCTCCAACAAAGAAAAGGACTGCAGGTAATGAGTACCAATCAGTCATTCCACAAGCTATGCTGAGAGTAATGTTCCAGAAGTTCAAGCAAGATCTATGCAAAATAATCCTTCCAACGACTAGATATCTCCTGGACTGGAAAATGAGGAATAACATAATCTGGGAGATTCCATGCAGGACTAAAACAGAAAAAAGTAACTCGAGCATAATGTGCAAGAACTACGGTTGATTGTACCATTCCTGCAAATTGTGACCACATATGAGGACAGACCAGGGACAGGATGCACATAGAGAAAAGTAGGTATATCAGGATACGACCGTCCCTCTAATTTTCTTGTCTTTGGTCACGATTGATATCTATCTAATTCAGTTCAATTCCAAATCATAATTGGTACACATGTTGTGCAAGAGATGTGTAGATTGGGGCTGTTCTCTACTTTTTAATACTATAGGAAAATTTGACATGTCAAAAATATTACTCAAACCACTTTTTTTGCAGGTTACTTGCACATTTCTCAATTTCAAATTGCTCCTACTAACAAATGCATACCAGTCGTCGTGTGTTCCGGGTCAATATAGGTGATTGTTCCCTTCACATTGGTGAAGTGAGTGTCATCTCCCTCGGGAACACTTTTTGCAACTCCGAAACTAGTAAGCTTGACATTGTAGTCCTAAAAAAGACGAGTTATCAAATGTCAAACATTATTAAAAAGGACAAAGGAATGTCGGGAGAACTTTTGCTACGTACGGCATCTAACAGGATCTTGGAAGTTTTAAAATTACGATATAGCACTTGTGGTTCTGCTTCCTCATGAAGAAAAGCAAGAATCTTTGCAGCATCCAGCGCTATTTTCATCCTGGTTGACCAAGGGAGAGGCAGAGTCCCTCCTACACAGCCCACAAAAGAACTATTAACTAATAAAATTTTTGTCGTCACACATATATCAGTATTCCCTTTCTATGGCCACCATAGTCGAAGATAGTTTGGTTAAAACTGATACCAACTTTTAAAAAGTAATTGCGAAGGATTAGTAGGCAGGGCAAGAATATGGTAGAAACCACAGTAGGATTCCCTTTCTTTTCTTGTAGAAATGAAATTTGCGCTTATGCAAAGGAAAGCTTAGCGAAACTGCTGAACAGATCATTATGCCCTACTATTAAAAATATTTAGTATCTTTCAAGAGTCCTTCCATGGGCAAGCATGTACCTTCCCTTAAATATCATTACTAGCGTACTTGCAAGCTTTCTTCTAAGTTTCATCCTCAATACAGTACAACTGTGGTGTTCTCGTGCCTAAAAATGACCAAGTTAAAGAGAATTAAGTCTCAGGATTCCCTGAGATGCAGTACTGAGAGACAAAATTAACAAAACGAGACTAAAATCACATATGGATGAAGCTGCTAGAAAGTGACATTTTTTATGACCATTTCACAAATATTTCATTATCTTATTATTTTTTCTGTTTTCTTTGCTTTTTTTCATTGTGCTGGCGAGGGTCACTGGCGACCCTCGCCGGCCATGGGTGAGGCATCGTGGCCTCGCAAGACGTGGGCGAGGACCTTTGTGGCCTCACCCAGGGACATCTCGACCTAGCCGGCCATGGGTGAGGCCTTTGCAACAACCCTCGCCGGCATAACGAAGAAACAAAAGCAAAGAAAAACAAAGAAAAAATATAAAAAAATTCAAATTTTTTTAACTCTTCTTCAACTCAAAATGGCTTAGCTATCCGATATTCTGGTCATCAGTGTGAGTTTCTAAGAATAAATGAAACAAGGCCCACCGTACAATTATAGAGATCTATCATATTCGCGATGGTTGAAAATAGATGTTCAGCCCATAAGAACAAGAAGAACTCGACATTCTTGACATCGTCGTCGCCCACAAGATAAGGCCTTAACTTTACTAAACAAGCGAGATAAGCTCTTTCTATTCAGTCAAGACCCGCAATGCATTAATAGAGCACGATTGGAACGGGAGACACGAAAGACCAGACTTTTGCGCGTCTTGACTGCATTTCATTAAAACCCTGTTAGAATTTGCATTCATCCGAAATAAATGCAACCAAATGAATGTAGACCCGAGTCGTTGTATAGTATAATATAAGGACATGGACCTCAAGACTTGGTGCTTGCGGGTCTTGCACTGCGAAACTTGGCCATACATAAGTTTTTCCACAGCAAAGCTGTTGGTCCAGCCCCACCACAGCCGCATACAAGTTGGTGCTTTGACTTAGTTAAGATGTTATGTGTTGCTTGGCTTATAGCAGCGGGCAAAGGCAAACGCTTCCTCTGTTTCTACTTCAAGCTACGATAGTGAGGCGTGACTACTTGGACGGCTGCAGAGAGAGAGAGAGAGAGAGAGAGAGAGAGAGAGAGAGAGAGAGAGAGAGAGAGAGAGAAGATACTACTGGACTAGCTCTGAGGATGAGATAAGAGATTATGCAAGGTGCGATAAACATTGAGTTAACTTGGGATTTTGCCCGACTTTCAGTTTTGCGAAACTTTAATTGAAAGAAACATGTAGCTTCCATTCCATTTTTCAATCGAAATGCACAGCAATGGTTACATTTTCTCCGGGAATCATTAGATGTGCTGAATAGATATCTTTCAAATAACCAACTCGATGGGTCACTGAATTGGTTAGTGCACTTGAGGAACTTAAAATATTTATGGCTTTCTAGGAATTCCTTCTCGGGTCCACTTCCTAAGTTATCGGAAAATTGCAAGATTTAGTAATCGCTAGGTCTTTCAAATAATCAATTAAATGGGTCCATTCCACCATCAATAGGTAGTTTGTCATCTTTGACAGATCTAGAACAAATTCTCTGGGCGTGTTCCAAATTGGATCGGACCGAGTTTCCGGTCTCTACAAATTCTTGGGCAGCAAGAAAACAAGTTCAGTGGCAGTATCTCTTCGCATTGCTAGTATTGAACCTTGCCGTGAATAACCGGATTCCAAATTGTCCTGGCTATATGAAGAAGATACCAATGAAGAAGGAAGGTGATGTTCTGCATAGTCATAATGCTCGGGTTTGCAACTGGGTTTTGGGGAGTTGTTCGAGCGGGTTGGTGTTCAAGAAGTATTGGAGCTGCACGTACTTCGTGGATCGTCAAATGGACATGATGTACGCGATTGTTGCGGTGAAGGGAGCTGGTTTGATGAGGAGATTGAGAAGAGCGTAAAGAACGAAGAAAGGACTGTTCACCACATCATCAATTAATCCAGTCGTTCTCTGATCTCGCGAAGTTCTTGGGCATTCTAGTTCTGCAGAAGAATCATCTTTGTGGTTGGCTTGTTTCTCAGTAGCAGCCAACGTTTGTTTTCTTTAGTTTCAAGCTTGTTCGAGCAAGCCTTCTAGGGAACGCATGGGCAGTCAAATCGTGTCATTTGGAATGTAATGTTGCTCAGCTCATTAGCAGTAGCTGTACTTCGTGTCATTACATTCATGATGTTTCGCTTGTTAATGATGTAAAAATATACAAAATCAGGCCGTGAAATCTTTCCCAAAATAGATTTCCTTCCTCAATTTTAGGACACCAGAAAAAAAATACAGGAAAATATTACCAAAAAAGTTATAAACTTATTGCATTTGTACTAATTCAGTTTTAAACATTTTAATTTGACCAATTTAATTCTAAACCATTTGACAATTAAGTCTTTCCAGCCAAAAGTGGCCAGAAATCGCTGACGTAGACACTAGCTATTTTACGTGACACAATCGTCGCTGATGCGGACAATTTTTGTAATTTTTCATTATCTTATTATTTTTTCTGTTTTCTTTGCTTTTTTTCATTGTGCTGGCGAGGGTCACTGGCGACCCTCGCCGGCCATGGGTGAGGCATCGTGGCCTCGCAAGGCGTGGGTGAGGACCTTTGTGGCCTCACCCAGGGACATCTCGACCTAGCCGGCCATGGGTGAGGCCTTTGCAACAACCCTCGCCGGCATAATGAAGAAACAAAAGCAAAGAAAAACAAAGAAAAAATATAAAAAAATTCAAATTTTTTTAACTCTTCTTCAACTCAAAATGGCTTAGCTATCCGATATTCTGGTCATCAGTGTGAGTTTCTAAGAATAAATGAAACAAGGCCCACCGTACAATTATAGAGATCTATCATATTCGCGATGGTTGAAAATAGATGTTCAGCCCATAAGAACAAGAAGAACTCGACATTCTTGACATCGTCGTCGCCCACAAGATAAGACCTTAACTTTACTAAACAAGCGAGATAAGCTCTTTCTATTCAGTCAAGACCCGCAATGCATTAATAGAGCACGATTGGAACAGGAGACACGAAAGACCAGACTTTTGCGCGTCTTGACTGCAAATTAATTTTAGTGTACACTAATGGTGTCGCTAGAGGACCGCCATTGATGAATCCAAGGAAAGACTTCTCTTTCTTCCAACTAGGGAAGCATTATATCATCACATAGTGTGAAAGTTTCCCTACATTTCCTTTGTTACGATTATATCAAGACCTTATGTCTATGTCTATGTGTCGTCTTCAACCTAACAAATTATATTTTCTGGCGAAATCCTATCTTAATCAGAGCAAGTTCCTCAATTTCTTCGTGTCACTCTTTAATTTAACATTAATTTTATTATGGGTTCTTGCTAATTACATCCACCAAAAGGATGGATTTGCCGACCCCGACCATCCCGTAAACCCCGACCACACTATTGCTGTCATTGGCAAGAGCGTCCATGATGTTCCGTATCATCAAAGCTCTAGATTTGAAGACGCCTTCGACCCCAACTTTAATCGGCTTCGAGGCAGAAGAAGCGGAGGCCGTCATGGTGGTCCACTGGCCGACATCTTTGCCTTCTCTCCTGGCTGGAGTCGGAGCAGCTACATTTCCTGGAGCTGGATCACTGAAGCAGATGTCGTTCAATTCCCTGAATCCGCTGCATTCTTGAGCGAGCTGCTTAATCTCCTCAATCTTGCCCTTCGTCTTCTTGCTGAACTGATAGCGAAAATTGGGGTTGGGTAGAGTCCCGTAGCAGCAAGTCTTGTTCGCCATTTCGAAGTCGCCCAACAGGTCTCGCGCCTCCTTCAAGGCCTTCTCAGCCCTTGCCATCCACTCCATGAACACATAGTAGAATTTCAAGTTAATACCACGAAAAACCCCAAACTGATACACCTATGATAAATTTACCCCGAACTATTTTTTTGACCACAAAAAATCTCAAAATCCTAAATTGGTACACATGTGACAATTTTATTCCAAACTAATTTTTTTTACCACCAAAAATCCCAAATTGGTACACCTATGACAAATTTACCCTCCGTTAGTTTCCGTTAAATTTTACTTTCAAATTGTTAAGTTTAATGACACGTGGTAGTTGATGGGTCTACTAGTTTGAAGTTTTACCCCTTTGTTTGTCAGAATTTTACCAATTTGTGATTTTTCGTAATATTAATCCAATTTACTGGGCACTAACAGATGGTAAATTTGTCACAAATGTACCAGTTTGGGATTTTTAGTGATCAAAAAATTAGTTTGGGATAAAATTGGCATATGTGTACTAGTTTGGAGTTTTTGATGATCAAAAAATTAGTTTGAAGTAAAATTGTCATAAGTGTCAGTATGGGGTTTTTTGTGATAAAAAAAATAGTTCATGGTAAATTTGTCATAGAAGTACAAGTTTGGAATTTTTCGTGGTCAAAAAATTAATTCGAGATAAAATTATAGCAGATGTATCAATTTGGGGTTTTTCGTGATATTAACATAGGATTTCCGAAGATTTGTTTCTGTTCACTTCCGCCAAAATGTGGAACCTCTCAGCCTCTTTCTCCAGTATTCCGGACTTCCTCCCGAAGACAATCAGCGAAGCTCTTGGAGGAGATCACATATCCAAAGCAACGCTTGATGGGAGCAAGTACACTTTTCCAGACCTCCCATCCAACAGCAACGACAGCATCAGTCGACATTTTTCTTAGTTTTTTTTTATTATTCCCAGAAAGAAAGAGCGAGAAAATAGAGAGATGGAGAGAGAACGATGAAAAAGAGCAGCAGACACTGAAGAAGAAGAAGAAGAAGAAGAAGAAGAAGAGGAGGAGGAGGAGGAGGAGGAGGAGGAGGAGGAGGAGGAATGATCGGGCCGAGGAGAGGAACGAGCGAGGTAACCAAAGGTAACCAAGGGCTTCCGGCTTCCCGTGGTTCCTTGGTAGTGGTGGTGAAACAGAGCATATTTATTGTTTGGAGTCTTTTACTTCTAATATTTATTATTAAAATATTGCAGTTATCACAAATTGATTTTCAAAGCTTTCAAAACTATACAATTATTGACAGGTGGAGTTTTTTGTTTTTTTCATTATTTATAAAATTTAATTATCTTCATTTTCAAAAAAAAATTTAGGGAAAGCAAAAGCAGAAAAAGGCACCTAAAAAGTGTAAACAAATTGAACAAGTTGACTATAAAAGTTGACAAAAATAATAATGGAACGTGTATGGAATCTTTTCGTAATCACTCTCGCATATTTCTAGTTCATGACAATCATTCTGAACAACGTTTTCAAAATGAATATAGATCTTAAGGATAAAAACATGACTTAAGAAGAGCTTTGGATAATAAAAAAAAATC